GGTGGAAAAGGCTTGAATGAGCGTAGTGTCTGAGGAGCAGGAGATCAGCTTGCGAGCCAGGAGGAAGGAGCTCGCGAGGAAGAGGAAGCCGCCCAAGATAGTGTCAATAGTGCTCTGTGTGGGACGCGAGGTAGCCGCTTAGGGGATGTTTCCAAGTCATGCTTTGCAAGGTTTTTCATTCCTGCATTATTGTCTCTCATCAGTGTGTGAGCGAGCGAGACTATAAGTCGATGGGATTGTTCTCTTCTGAGAAGGGATGGTCTGCTGTGCTTAACGGAAAACAAATAGAGCCCTCAGCATTCTGCCGTTACACAAGGCAGTTGAACGGCATCCAACTCCGAAAAGACATGATCATTTTTCACTTTCTCCGGCTAACGTAGAGCGACTGTTTGCTCAACGCAAGCCGTTGCGAGGAGCGCATTGTGTGAGCCCCAAGTCATCCCTGATGTTGGGACGCCAATAAGGAATAAGGGAGGATGTTTGACAACTATCGTAATTTCTGGAAAACAACACACATTTTTTTAATTAAAAAAATACAAAATAAATATAATCATTCAACATCAAGTAGGGGTATTACACACGACTTTACGGAAAAAGCAAAAATTTCTCACCAGTGTGAAAAACGACATATAAAGGACATTAGGTAATCTAAGTATGTAACTGTAACCTGTTATATTACAACAAGAAAAGTAAATTACAGTTGTTTTTGGACATTTGTAAAATCGCCACAAAAATGCGATTATCATTTTTTTTTTCTTGCGCCGTTGCCTCTTTTTACAAAGTGTGGAATAAAACATTTTGGACTGGCAAATATATCCAAATGTACCCACAAATATGCTCAAATGTACCTGAAGGCTAAATGCTACAAGCATAGCATTTTCTTCTCCCATAATGCTGCATATGTGCAGTTTACACATATACAATAGAATGGAGTGCAAAAATTGTTGCTGAGAAAGTCAGCTTCAGTTTCACTTCTGATGCAAGAACAGTGTTATGAATGCAAGTATTTCTCTTTTAGGATCTTGTCTTTTGTGTCGTTTAAATTCTGCTGAAAGATTTGCACGCTATCAAGTTTTAACATATGAAAATGGTTGAGGCCATTTGTTTAAAATGAATACAAAAGTAATCAAAATGTAATTCGGGACATTACTTTGAGTAATTGAAATAGTTACACATATTAAGCAGCCCAATATCTTGCAAGTGTAGAAGCTTGAGAAAAGCGTTTTATTTTTCCTTTTTAAGCTGTGAGTCTTCCTTTTACGGCAGCTCTGAAATGACATGGCATTTTTGAAAAACTGTGGCCGCAAAATAAGTTTATCGTGCACACGTAATACAGGTTGGCGGGCTTAAAAGCATTCCCATGAACGACATGCATGTCGCGGTAAGCAAATGGCGCGCAACTTCATTGCCGCACCTCTCGTGAGAAGGTGCGCGCCATTTTCTTACCCAACTGTCCGGGATCGAGAATAATGTTTATGAAGTTGTATTTTGTGGGCACGTTACACCTGCTTCATTGCCACAAATGAGCATTTCATGGATATAAACGAGCATTTCAACCATGTTAACGGAAAAACCACCACTATTAAGATCTGAACATTGACCGATAGGAAAAGGATTTACAGTATATTGACTGTTGGAGCACAACGAGTGCAAGCAGCAGTGGTATGACACCCCAAGCTGTGTATCAGTTGGGTGGGTGTTATTTTCCAAGCTGTCCAATAGAAATGTGTTCGTGAAGGAAGGAGAGTGTCATTTGAGTCTAAGATACGACGTAAGGTGAGAAGTGCAAGCCATCCGAAGGATTTAGGAGGAGACAGAAGAAAGTACAAAAACTAGGGGTGGGGGAAGAGGGGTCGATACCTGGCTCAGGTAGCGGAAAATAAGCCTCCCGACCACAAGCCATTTGTCTCTATTTCCCTTGTGATTGACTGCTGACCGCGCCTGATGTACCCTGTCTCTTTCCCAAAAGGCTGGGATAGGCAACGCTGGATGCGTTTACCATGATTTTTTTTTGTAGTTCTTTAAATCCATCATTTATGAATTCATGTATCTATGATGATCTTCACTTGACTTGATCACCGTCAAGACAACACAGGAATGCATCCCCGAGTGTGACGCAATCCGAAAGCTCAGCATCTAAGGAGAATATCGGGATATAGGTACAACTTCAAAGATTTCAAAGGCGCTTTTGATCGAATCCGGCTCGTGGCACGTAATGACTAATTACAACCTGCGTGATCAAGGCCCTCCATGACAACGAATACGGTCCGAAGACATCAGAATGTTTGGCGCATTGCTGCAACTCATTACGGATGAGATCATGAGTGCTTGTGACAAACCGCATGCATCAATGCAGACCATGTTTGCAAGCTCGTTAGTTGATAATGGCCATTTAATGGAGTGAGAAAGAGCCGCAAGTCTTCCCGAGCAGCACACCAGTCAGCACAGAGGAAGTCAAATCATCCACTCGCCTCAACTTAAAGCTCCAAACATAAGACGCAGATAAAATACAACCAGCCTGTGGCTAGTGTGAGAGATAAATCGAGAAATCGACATGGTCACTCCTCACTAACAGATGAACTCGAATGTATGGCACCCCAGATCATCCAATTCAAAGTCCTTTTGTTTTGTTAAACGTGTTAATCTTCCATCTCTGCGGCAGCCGGATGATTGACTGAAAATGCAACATGTCCCTCCCAATGGAGTACAACTTTGTTATGGACCGTTGCAAAAAGTCAACAGTGGCTTAGCCTGTCAGGGTCCAAAGGCTGCTGAAAAAGAGAGTGGACGGTTCAAGAACAACTACGGCTCAAGGCAGGTTTCAATATAAGGCAGGAGTGGAAGCATCTGCAGCGGTACCACCACAAATGTTTTACAGACTCCAGTCAGCATCAAGGATTAACTCTGCAGAAGTGCTTTTCACCTTCTTCTTCTTTCTGCAACACTTGATCTGAAACTATGATTATGGTAAAAGAGGGAAGAGGAAGGTGGCCTCAAGTAAGCACGCTCAAGTTTTCGGCTCTGCGCTGAATTGACAGCGAATGAGTCGAGTCACTCCAATTGGATGGCAGACAAGTCGGGTGTGTTTTTGTCTTATACCTCTGCTTATGTAGGATAATAGTAAAGAAAGAAATCTTCAACCGCGCGCATAGTTAGACTGTGCGCTGCACCAGATTTGCACGGGGCACGAAAATAGAGCCCTAAATATCCAAAACAAGCCAATGAAAATAGACAGAGCGGTGGAAAAATCAATAGCACTGTGGATAAGAGCAGCTCGGGTGGAAATAAAGCATCTTATTACTGACTCAGCACACTTGGAATCACAGGAGATGAATGCATGGCTGGTATCCATCTGCGTTATTCATGGCTTGACTGACAGTAAATGGCTCTCTCAGATGTGCCTTTGTTTGCTTTGTGCCAACAGGTGTTTTGTGACGTGTGCTCCTCAAGCCAAGTCATGGCTTTGTCCGGAGCGTCCAAAACAAAGACAAATCCCTTTGCCTCTCTCTGAACATTCCACTCAAACCGAATAACATCTTTTTTTTTTAAGCCGTTGGCAGCCATTAGCGGAATGTGACAGAATGCCATGGAAGCTAAGAAACCTGGAAATTTGATCGAAGGACTGCAGGAGCACACGGCCAGTGATGAATGGCTTCGTCATATAATGTCATTGCAATATTTGTTGTAATCATCCTCACTTGAGATGATTCACTGAAACGTCTCTGCTCATCGAGGAAAACAACTGGCATTTTCATTTGTGCGGAAATATGCACCATCATGAGGGAGAATATGATTTCAGGATGGCGTTGTGGTGATGCTGGTCGTAACGATGTATTAGCACTGTAACTGTGTTAAGGTAAGCCAAAATGTCGAGAATGTAAGTCGAGCTAGCCGCTACCCCACCACGCGCGCCAACTTGAAAATAAAAGCCTAGAAAGTTTTTTAAGGCTATTATTTGGGAAACTTTTGTTTTGAAGTTGGCAGTGTGTTACGTTATGAGTATGTTTGCAGCTCCCTTGACACATCAAAATGAGGGCACACACGATAAATAAACTGTTACCAGCGGAAGAAAAAAAAATCCATCTTTTTTTTTTTTTTTTTTTTTTTAATTTTAATTTGAGGTAGCGGTACTCAAATTCCTGTAGGCGTCTTATGAGTATCACAAGAACAAGAGAGAAATAGAACGAGAGGTTGCTGTGGGATCATGTGAAGTTCTGGTATGCCATAAAAGGTCCCGGGATGCTAGAGACTAAAGTTGAGAAGTACTCTGTACTGCTGTGGACCGGCCCACTGGAATCACTGTTTCAAACTCTTCGTACAAGATGATTTTTTACAAAAAAATGGCTTATAAATGACTCCGTTTTGGAAAAAAAAAAAAATCCACCGGAACATTTGGTGAAGACTCCCCATCAGCAATCCAACCTAAACTCAAGGCCTCTCTAACATACAAATCTTGGCTGTCAGTGAAGATGTTTTACTTCAACATGCTTCCTTGGCACCAATTACTGTACTACTTTCCTATTTAGACAGGGCATTAGTGGCGTCTTGTGCTGTTTTAGGGCATTCCAGAAAGAACACAAATAATATGTGGATTCCATGAAAAAAAGACACACACACACACACACACACACACACACACACACACACACACACACACACACACACACACACACAAGTGGAACAGACTTTTGCCACTTCTTAAAGAACAGGCCTGATATTGAACATGCAGGACAGACTTTTTTTTTCACGTTAACCTTTGCACCTGCCAAGGTCACAACCTGCTGACTCAACCAAATGACATTCCTGCATGCATCGTGATGGCCAACAGGCACTCGGCCTCCAGCAACAAAGGACGAGGCAGGAGTGTGCTCTGAATCAATAGAAAAGTGGCATGTATGCACAAGGCACAAATGGGTTGAATGGGGGAAGGGAGGCTCTCACCTTGCCCCCCCGGCAAACATGAAGCTTGATTTGTTCCGAACAGGCGAGTGAGCCGGCCACTACCTCTCTCTCGCACACTCACACTTTACAGGCATGTAGAACAATCACAGCCCTCCTGGAGCGCCTGCACGCTCGCTCCACCCTCAGCCCTCGAGGACAGGCACGACCCAGGAGGAGGGGATACACCAGGGGGATGGGGGGGAGGCAGCAGCTCGAATGTATTTGCACTGGTGCAGCAAGCAGAAGGCAGAGCACAGTGGACAAGCCGGCTCCCATTGTGGATTACACCAACGTTATAAGAGAGACGGACAACTACCCTTGGGGGAGAAGAAACAAAAACAACAACAAAAAAAATGCTTCCATGAAGGTGCGGTGACATTTGTTGTTTATTTTGCATCCAACCTGAGTAATAGCAGAGCCATCAGACCTGGATCTACCATTTCTTTCTTCTGACAACTCTCACACAGTTGCACAGCCAAAGTGGATTCAACGTGAGTGTCTTTCATATAACCCCCCCCCCCATCTCCCCCAACTCTTTTTACGATTGTAATTATGGCTTTTAGTCTCATCATGGCACACATCTTGAAATCCAATGCCTCTAAGTGATTGCGTGCAGTTCAACTATTTGAGGATCAATGTGGGTCATCTCTCTGCAAACAAACAGCTGAGGTCTCCATGAGACGCACACACGCCGCCTTTACGGCGTCGTTATTAGTGGTCAAACAATTCAGTCATTGTTTTTATTTTGTTCCGCGCACTCTCACTATCAAGAAATGCAAAAGAATGGCGTGTTACCTGACTGGCGTGCGGTTAAATGCAAATTACAAAAAAAATGTGACATGCTGCTTATTAGCTTCTTTTTGTAATAAGATGATCATAGCACCTGGAGGAAAGGAAAAATATTGATATAAAATATTAGTGAAATATTTACACTCAAAACAAGAGCGGTAATTCAATATTATTATTTTTCTCAATAAACGGCATTTCAAATGGACAGTAGAGAGACTTTCACCGACACCAACTAATGAGGAAAGAACTGTTTGGAATCTTCACTTCGATTGCTACAGGAGAAAATAAACTCAAGTTGTATTGAACAAAAACATTAGAAACTCCCCTCAGAAGGCTACAACATTCCAGCAAAGAACAAGTTCATGAAATATATATTATTAAATAACGTCATAGAGAAAAAAAAAATAATAATGATCATGTGAAAACAAGTGATATGTGTAACCGCAGCGATCCCTCAAAAGGGTTTAACTGGATTAGTCCGGGAAAGTGACGTTTTTATGCGTGTGAAGTGCTGAAGCTTGAAATGTTAATGGACTGTAAATGGTGGGAGCGCCAATATTTTGTCTCGCAGCTGCGGTCGCAAAAACCTGCACGAGGAAGCGCACACAGCAAGCTGGGAGGCAGCGTGTGCATTCGCACCGCACGGAATAATTGATCAAGTCATCGTTAAGAATTCTGCCAATTGCTGGAAGTGAGTGTTGATTCACCGCGTCTTTAGCCAGGAATGGAGGTGCATGACGCTGAAAGCCTTTGGGCCCTATTTTCGCACCCAGTGCAAGTCTAGTGCAAAAAAGCCGTCTAACTGCGCGCATGGGTGAGTTGACTTGATTCTTGGCCACTGGAAGGTTTCTCTCATTCCCTTTGAATTCAGGGCAGGAGAGGCGCACACAGACTTTGACATTGTGGAAATAGAAATAAACTCGCTGGGGTCCATGCAGAAGATCGACACGTGCAGAGTAGGTTTGCAAGTCACTGCAAGCAGATCTCTGCTTGCTAATGATGTGATAGCTGATAGCTGTGCCATGGCCCAGGAGGGGTGTTTGGAAAAATATCACAGAGACCATGATAATAATGATGACTTTATTTCAACAACGATTCCGAGGGTTCACTGCACCCTGTTGTTACAAATTCGAATGAAATACGATGACATCCACCACACACTCACACATCAGTGTAGCGCAGAATCTGTCTGTCTGCGCCACAACTTAGACCTGCTCTAAGCTGATCTAAAGACTAGTCTATGTTCGGTCACCAAATTCTCAAGTGCGTTGGAGGCTTGAAAAGTAAAATGCCCTCGAACTGCACTTCAGCTAAATTCCCTAATACGGCAAACTAGATTTGCCCCGACACGAAAACCAATATGAGCCACTTTTTATTGCGAGCGCACGTGCACCTGTCTCCAAAAATAGTAGTCTATGTAATAGGACTTGAACAAAGAAAAACATTAACATGGCCAAATTGCGACATCCGTTTGGTTGTCGAATTATTATTTTCCTTTCCAGTCGCCCCTCTGCTTTGGATATTTCTGACATACAGTGAGAGTAAAACAAAAAATTTCCAAAAACAAAATGCCTTCTGCTGAGTTGAATGAGTTTGTTGTTTCACATTTTACATTTCACATTTACCAGTCGAGAATAGCTCCTCAAATCACAACTTCTAATGCACACGCTGATGTGTACAATGCATTTGTGACTTCATTTGGATTTTTTTAATACTGGTCGGGCGAACCAAACCGCACCGGGTTCGGATATCAGCGTTCACTTTGTACCACAGGGCACAAGCAGAGTACTGTAATCGCAGCAGAGGACTTTTGAACGCAAGCAAACGTCACAAGTGTGGACACAGAATTAGTCGTACTTCTCACTTTCCAATCCCCAGTAGGTTTTCTCCTTATTTTGTGTGATTACTGTGTCTGTGGAAGCTTGGTTTCTTTTACACTGAAGCCTGAGAAAAGCGTATTTTTAGCCCGCACGTGTGCTTGCAGCACTTTCCAGATGTAGTAATGGCAATTAATCCCAGTATGGTCTTCAGCGTGTCTGCTAAAACAGCACATCAATTTTTGGCAAATATCTGAATGACAGAGTCCAAGAATTTATTTGTTATGTTTTGCATCAACACTGAGGCTCCAGCAGGCTCGTTCCATTCATCAGTCAATACATTTAATTGCCCCCACCCCCCCCACCCCAAGTGTTTGGTCCAATCCAAGACGAGCACAAAAGGACTTTCCTTGGCTAGTCGTCATGTGGAAAAATCCGCCATGTCGCCTCACCTCTCCTCTTTGGCAAAGAGTTTGTTCAATGCACGTGTTGCTGGTTAATGATACAGTGAACACCCCCCACCCCACACGACAAGAGCAAACTTCTTCATTACTGCCCTATTGGTGCGCTGTATTGTGGAAATACACGGCGCCTGTTTGCGAGTGACACAAAGTGCAGGTGGCAGTGACAATGAGGGTGACTAATCAGGTGTGGTTCCACACCATTAACATTTAATGATCTGTTGTGCTGTCACAGTGAAAGAACAAATTGTTTACTTTTATTACCCCTATGGCGCTGTGTCCGATGAATAAATCAGACGCCAATTGCCGCTAATCCGCATTAATGTGTAGAACGTCCACCTGGCATCGAAGCGCTTCGTTCGTTGACTGTCATGTGTTGGGGCTGCATCCGGCTCTAATAAAGTCACAGGTCGAGCTTCATGAAGAAAGCCGCAGGCACAGGCTTTGTGATGCGCCGGTGACTCACGCGGCCCTTTGTTGTATCGATCGGTATGGAAACTAACTCTTATGCCTCAGCAACACAAAGCTGGACAGAAAACCACACTGGACATGCGAATAATGTAGCTGTACAACAATTTTATTTTAAAACTGTGAGAGATGCCAAGCTGTGTCGGGGAAAACTTCCAAAGAACTGGCAAAAGTTGTCCAACTCTACAAGAGGAGAAGTCCTGATTCAACTGTTGTACAAGCAAAGAAAAAAAAATGTTATTTTTGTTAAAACAGTCACTGTGACTTGACAGTAGTACAAGAAGCCACGCCAGAGGCCAAATGTCCAATCAGAGAGACAGATGGTGTGACTTTGCAAGTGCCAATCATTCAACGCACACTCACCAGCATCTTTTTTGACATCATGCCCGCATCCGCGAAAAGTTTAAAAAGTAACGAGTCTCATTTTACAAAGTAAGCAGCAGTAAGTACAGACAGCTGTGTTCATATGTGGGGACGACAATGAAAACGTTTCAGAAAAATCAATATTCAAGGTTCGCGCGTTACGATCCCTGAAAAATCTGCTCAAGTATTTGTACGTCATGACCCCCCCCCCACCCCCACAGCATTTATGAGGCTTCTCCCCTGACGTTTAACATAATCAACGAGGCACACACTGAGGGAGATGGACAAAGTGAAATAGAAAACAAAAATAACCCCCAAAAAGCCATACATTTGAATTTTGAGGGGAAGTACAGATATGCAGCGTTGCCTTTAAGTTCCACTACACTCCGTTCCCACACAGACATCAGTCCACTAAATAAATACATGAGCTCAACTTCCCATAGTTTGGAACATGTTGCACTTGATGAGATGAGCCCTCAACAGTCCATATTAATCCAACTACAAGTTGCTATCACGCTGAATGGAGTTAGCTTTCACGAGTGGCGCGTTTCCCTCCAATGAGGCGGTCTTGTTTTGGTGTAATGGCTGACAAAGACACACGGCGTGTGCTTCCTTGAATTGTTTTGCTCTATGTCTTTAATTTTTCTCAAAGTTCTGCGGCCATATTTCATTGGATGATGTCCGAGAGTTGGATGGTGTTTGGCTGTGTGCATGGTTTGCTGATGACATCATTTTCAGGGCTTTTGAGCCAAACGTGTACACAGGACTGATGCGTTGAAAGATTCCCTAGACCGCTAATATTTTCTCGCGCACCTTAACTGTTTGAGTCAAGGCTAAGGCATCGTTACCGAATATGCTGAGCACGGAGAGGACGAGGACGCCATGGAAAATGATGGCTGTGCACAGGTTTGTCTCTGGAAAGATACACGGGGATCGAGCAGACTCCTTGATTAATCTGAGTGAAAGCCTGAGAGTAAAGCCAGCACCCAGTGTGGCGTGCGTGACAACCAAGAGCAATGTCTGCAGCCCGTCCAATCAATTCAATTTACTTTCTAAGCGCTTTTAAAACAACAAACGTCCAACAAAGTGCTGTACCAGCAGAAGAAAAGGGGATGCAATGAATTTAAGGAACAAAATCATCCAAAACAAGTAAAACCCACTCAAGGCAAGACTGCTCACAGAAAAAAGTATATTTAAAAAAAAAATTTAAATCTGAAAGACAGATAGCATGACCCAAATGTAAGTACAGGATGCGTGGATCAGTTGCAGTCAAGCTTTGGAGCCAACTGAAAACCAGGATGCACAAGTTATAGTACATTTTGTATATGGAAGGCAGGGGGGCACCCAGCCCAAAATAAGGAATGTCTAGTACTGTACACTGTGAAGCTGAAACCCCCCCAAACTTTCCAGTTGTTGCATGAGCCTAATAACACAGTTGCCTTGGTCATATTTTAATGTTTTTGAAAAACATGAAAAGAAAACACAACAACAACCAAAAAAACCCCAAAAGAATCCAGTTGCATAAATTCACCCTTTGCAGATTACCATGACCTGGATGAGAATCTCCATAGACAAAGAAAAAAACACAACTTGTAGCCTTTTTTTTTCCAATAATGTGACATCAGGAAAAAAAGGACTTAACACTTCTCACATTTCTCGATAAATATGTTTCAAAATTGCATTTTGATTTCATTTATCGTACACAGTTTAGTCTCTCAATTGTGGTAGCGCGTTTTAAGCTTGTTGTGTTATCATGTTTCACATGACAGAAGTGGTTGATTTTGATGGTATACTTGTTTTGGGTGACAGTGTTATTAAATTATTCCGTGAAATGTGATGTTCGTTACCTCTTCATCAAATTTAAGGGGGCTTTGGGGCTTTTGCCTTATAATCATACCTTATTTGCTTCCAGGCAGGAAAAAAAAAGCATTAAAAGTCAGTCACATGCTTATAGAGTACATAGATAATGAGATGATATTGCAGGCACAAAGAATCCTCTATGGCGTAATTACAGAGAGGGGAGGAAGATAGCAAGGTTCAAAGAAAGAGAGGCCAAAGGAAATCAAGACCTCCTTGGAACATTAAACCTTAATTAAACAAATGAATAAAGAAATAAATCAACAGTTATTCATGTCACACCATATCTATATGCAGGTAACAAGTCACAAAAGGCCACCTTAGCTAAATGCTGCTTTGGTGTGCCATATGGACAAATTATAGTAACAACTAAGAAGAACATTTGATAGCCAAGGACAGGCTTTAAAGATGTGGAGGAATGTTTGACAAGAGAAGAGTCCCATTCTCCGCGTCTCATCGACGCCCATCTGGCATAGCTTCTCACGCATTCCTCCGTCAGTCAACGTGCGACACTTGACAGGATGTCATGCGGCACGATTAGCAGCTAATTGGTCAGCGGGTTCCCAGTGGAGGAGTGGGAACGTCCACCTACTATAAGAGCACTTTCACCTCCCTATTTTTAGCCAAGCAGAATCACAAATGGATATTGGAGGTGTTGGTGTGGAAGTAAAAAGTGGACTGAAGTGCAGGGCAGCAGGAGTAATCTAAAAAAAATAAATTAAAAAAAGTGTGGGGGGGGGGTGTTATTTCCAAAAAGGGGTGAATAAGGCTCATGGAAAAACCAGAATACTCAAAAGTAGCAAAGAAACACTACAAAGGGAATCATCACACAACTAGATGAACATGACTAACAACAGAAGTACACAAACGCAACAATGAACGAGGAAAGGCTGACAGAAAGCGAGAACTTGACGAGGCAGCGAGACGCACCCGGACGAAATTTGAGTGGCTGAGGGAGCTGAATAACTGACACAGAAGAACAGAGCTGACGAGAACCGGTGGAACCCTGACGAGTTGACATGATGTGAAAAAAGCAACACAGGAAAACACGGCAAAACATGAAACAAAACAAAATCTAATCAAAGTCAACAAAAAACGAGAAATTTTCAAAACAAAATGTCTCGTTGGAATATTCTACCACCAAACTATTGAAACTTATACTGCACAGGCAAAACAGAATTTAGCCAATCTCATATCGGTTCAAAACAAAACACTCTTCATGTTTTTAGCGTTCAAACTAATTGCAAGTTTGGAATGTAGACTACCTGCAATAGTCGTCCGCCCTACCCCCAAGTCTCTGAGCAAAGCCCCATAATTCTTATTCCAGAAACGCAATGTTAATTGTTTAGACCGGTGGGGGCACAAACAACATTCTTGCAAAGTCAAATTCGGCGTGAAGTTCGCATCCAGTTAAGTGTAATGAAAAATGTCCACTGCTAATATTTTGACACAGTAACAGTCACACAAACGTAATCAAACACGAATGTTTTTTTGAATGTAGCAGCAAGTGGCCAGTGTGACAAGCTAATGCTAGTTGCTTCTTCTTGACAAACATCGACCACTCAAATGCACTGACCCTGGTCACACAAGAGCCAAAATAAAGTTTTGTTTTGGGTTTTTTTTTAGGATGAAAGGTAGTACATAAGTAATATATTGATTGATTGAGTAATTGAACCAAACTAGGAAGTAGAAAGCAACCAAAACAAAAGCGGTAACAGTACTAAACATGTCTTTAGAGAAGAAAGAGGCATCCACATGATGGCTGGCAGGAGAAGCATCACACTCTTCAAGCCACTCCATTAAAAGCAACCAAGCTCTCTTAAGAGCCATATTTAGCCACCCGCGCCTTTCTGATCATCAACCACGACTGTTTGACCTTATCTGTACTATTTTCTTTTCCTGAATCCCCCCCCCACACTACCCTCATCGTGTTTTCTCGTACTTTCTTCTATTTCCACGTTTATTTGCGCAAGATTGCACACAGACTCCCATGAACCCGTTGTTCCTTAGATTGTCATGTCATTCGTCTCTTGCTACGTTCAAGCAATTTATTTATAAGCAAAGGAAAACAAACATGACATTTATTCCACTCAACAGTGACACGGGGAGGAGAAAAGAATGAGATGTATACGCGAGGCAGCAAAGAAAAACAAGGGAAAGCGGGAATGCAGCGGGTACGCATGGGGTGATTATGTGGAGGCGAGGTGATGGAATACATTTGGAGGGATCAAGGGAAAATCTGTCGATCAACTTTGAGAAAATATGAAAGGGAAAATAAACGGTGCTGGTTTTGCGTCAAACTGAACATAAGAATCCGAGAAGTGGGCAAACATCCAGACGGACGATCGGTCGAGATGTAATAATATTCACATGGCAGCATGATCGTCTGTCAGAGGCTGTTTGTAGCAAATACGATCATTGTCAATGTCTCCAATGCTGCATAAGGCTCAAGTGCTGGCCTTTGGGTCGGAGGGAAAAGGTCAGGCAGGACAAGCAAAATTAAAACAAGATACTAATCCAGTTATGACAAAATAATGAGAAGAGAATGGCCGTCCCATGATCCTCCAGCGCACCGAGCAAAACCTTTTCATCACGTCCCATCCATAGTACACGATGAGAAAACTTGACCACGTCATTTGTCTTGCAGGAATGGAAAGCATCAGTGTGCAAACGGACTGGGATGCTTTAACCCTCTCCTCTCTGGTTGGGATGGGAAGAAACAACCGCTCTTCCTCTTCTCTGTTTGAGCTCAACAGCCTCAACGGCTCCCGCAGCGGAAGCTCCTTCTTTGGCATATTTCCAGAGAATGGCTCCGACACCACCCCGTACCCGCTACCCCAGCCCAGGGTGAGGGACCAGGGCCTGGCCCAGGCCGAGATCGCCGTGCTCGGGGTGGTGCTGGCTCTGACCACCCTGGGGAACAGCTTTGTGCTGTGGGTGCTACTCAGGAGGAGGAAGCACAATGCACCCATGCACGTGTTCATGGTCAACTTGTGTGTGGCTGACCTGGTGGTGGCCTTTTTTCAGGTGACCTCATGACTTCCCGTCTTTGGTATTTAGCCTATGACCTGTGCGTTCGATGATACACACCCGATTCAAATGAACTATTGTGTTGGAGGAGGGACACATCTAAAACAGGCTGGATAGGGGCTCTCGGGGACCAAACTTGGGCACCCATGCTTTATATGCATTCCCCAAGGGTTGACTGTTCTCACAAGCATTTGCTTGGATTGTACAGTAAAAATAATATAAACAAGTTTATTTTGGGTTCCTTGATCCATGCGTTCTCTATCGATCTGTCCGTCTTCTCCCAATGTTAACCAGTCAGTTTTAAACAGCTATCGGTCACGTAAAATGAATGAAAACAGTTACGGATGAGGAGTGGTATCCTTTATACATAACGTCTTGGAGGTCTTGCAGTCAGGTTTCAAGATGATGCATAGCACAGAGTCAGTCGTGAGTTTTTAATGACAGCCTCCTGGCAAATGAGACTATGTGTGTCGGTTTTAACTGCAGCATTTGATACAGTGGATCAAAGTATTTTGTTGGCTCGTTTGCAGCACCTGGTGGGGATTGGCAGTAGCGCCATTGAGTGCTTTAGGTGCTATTTGGCTGACAGAACTTTTTGAGTTAGCCTTGGTTGCTCTGAGTCACACACTGCCCCACTGTAGCGTGGTGCTCCACAGAGCTCCATTCTGGGGCCTCTGCTGTTCTCACAGTATCTGCTCATTTTGGGTTCCATCTTAAGGAGACAAGCCATTTCCTTTCACTGCTATGTGCATGACTGTCAGATCTACAGTATGTGCCGCTGAGCAAAAAAGATGCTTTCTCATTGAGGCCACTTTGATCCTGTCTGGAGGAAATCAAGACCTGGATGGCACTGAATTTCTTTAATTCCAATGAAAAGAAGACAGATGTGATGGTCCCAGTGGCCCTTGTACATCCCGTCTTGTGGACTTGGGCCCCCTTATCTTAAGCAAACATTCTCGAACTTGGGTCTTAAACCAGGTAACGATTTTAAATTGGACGGGCAAATTGATTCTGTTGTTAAATCGAGCTTCTTTCATCTGAGGCAGCTGGCTAAAGTAAAGCCTCTCCTTTCTCAGGAGCATTTTGAAGGAGTAGTTCGTTCCTTCATCTCAGCTCGGCTTGATTGTAATGCACTTGTCAGCCATCCATCCATTTACCGCCACTTATCCGGTGTCGGGTCGCGGGGGCAGCAGCTTTAGTAGGGAAACCTAGACTTCCCTCTCCTAAGCCACTTCTTCGAACTCTTCCCGGCGGATCCCGAGGCATTCCCAGGGCAGCTGGGTGACATAGTCTCTCCAGCCTGTCCTGGGTCGACCCCGAGGTCTCTTGCCAATGGGACATGCCCGGAACACCTCACCAGGGAGGCGCCCAGGAGGCATCCTAATCAGATGCCCGAGCCACCTCATCTGGCTCCTCTCGATGTGGAGGAGAAGCGGCTCTACACCGAGCCCCTGCCGGATGACCGAGCTTCTCACCTTATCTCTAAGGGAGAGCCCGGACACCCTGCGGAGAAAACTAATTTCGGCCACTTGTATCCGGGATCTCGTTCTTTCGGTCACGACCCATAGCTCGTGACCATAGATGAGGGTTGGGACGTAGATCGACCGGTAAATTGAGAGCTTCGCCCTTTGGCTCAGCTCCTTCTTTACCAAGACAGACCGATACAAGTCCGCATCACGACAGACACTTCACCGATCCGCCTGTCGAGCTCTCGCTCCCTCCTGCCCTCACTCGTGAACAAGACCCCAAGATAGTTAAACTTGTCAGCCAATCCTCCATTAAGAGTCCCCAGTTGCTCCAGAATGCTTTTGCTCGCCTTTTGACTGGTACTTGTAAGAGGGAGCACATAACTCCTACTCTGGCATCTATTCACTGGCTCCCTATACATTAAGATCCTATTATTTGTTTTCAAATCTTTAAATGGCCTTGCCCCACCTTACCTCTCTTGAGCTCTTCTGCCCCTACGCACCTGCCCGGTGCCTCAGGTCTGTGGACCAGACACTATTAGATATATCGAGAACTAAGTGGAGGCTCAGAGACGGATCAAGCCTTTTCTGTTGCCGGTCCTTCTCTTTGGAATGACCTTCCGCTGAACGTTAGGCAAGCCCTCTTGCTGCCCATCTTTAAAACTTGTTTCAAAACTCGTTTTTATTCTTTGGCTTTTGAGTCAGCATGAGACTTCATTTTTTTAGGAATACTGTTTTTTTGCTTTCTACAGACTTCCTTATTCATTTATTTTTTTTTATTGTTGGGTGGCAAGGTGCTCAAATGGTTAGCACGTCAGCTTCACATTGCAGAGGTGCAGGGTTCCATTCTGGCTCCAGCCTTCCTTTGTGGAGGTTGGATGTTCTCCCTGTGCCTGTGTGCGTTTTTTCTCGGTGCTCTGGTGTCTTCCCACATCCCCAAAACAGGTTGATTGAGCACTCTCAATTGTCCCTAGGTGTGATTGTGAACGCGTTTGTTTGTTTGTCTGTGTGCCCTGCGATTGGCTGGCAACCAGTTCAGGGTGTACCTCGCCAGCTGCCCGAAGTCAGCTGTGATGGGCTCCAGCGTGCCCGCGACCCTTGTGAGGATAAGCAGATTAGAAAATGGATGGATGCACACCTAAAAGATTAATTGATTATGAACATTTTTGATTAGTTTGATAATGGAATTGTTGTCAGTTAACAAATTAATCATTGCCCTACTAATGCTGATTCCTAATTTTAATACACTTTTACATTTTGTTGTTATTGTGTTATTCATGCTTTACAGTGTCCTTGACTGCACAGAAAGGTGCATACATCTTAAAAAATGTCTTCTTATCATTATGAAGTCATTATTGTGTCCTACACAAGCCAGAGTATCACATTCCATGTGTCTTCATCATAGGTCGCGAGTGGGAGCAATCACTCAACGGACAATAGGAAAGCGGCAGGTTTTACCTCGGATACTACTTAAAGCACTGGCACAAGAATAACTTCTAACATCTGCAAATAATTTTCAAGATCCTGCATCTGTCTGACTCGCTGTTTGGGGATTTTTTGCCAGCAGCTAAAATAACATCAACATCATCATTGATACCAACTCAGTGAAGCAATCGCAATCATTCAAAGATATGAATCCCCAGCTTCAAGAATCATTTCTCCCAAAGGAGAATGATTCAGGCCTACTGGGATGTGTTTTCCCAAATGTAAATTGGAAATGAAAAGTCTTGAGAGTTGTAAGAAACTCAGGTTGGCTGCAGTGTAAAAAAAAAAAAAAAAAAAAATCAAAATAATAATGTGTGTATGCAGGTTCTTCCTCAGCTCATTTGGGACATCACAGATAAGTTTCAGGGACCTGATTTCCTGTGCCGCTCCATCAAGTACTTGCAGATAGTGGGAATGTTTGCGTCCTCCTACATGATCGTGGCCATGACGGTGGACCGACACCATGCCATCTGCTGCCCGCTGCAGGCTTACCGTAGCGGGGCGGTATCCCGCTGGAACACACCAGTCATGGTGGCTTGGGGCTTGGCGCTTGTCCTCAGCATACCCCAGGTAAGCACTCATATCATGACCTCCCTGCCAGGCTGGTGACTACACATACCAGAGAACTCAATCTATTTTTAGTGCCATGAGGTCATTGCCGAAGTAAGATTGATGTAAGCTTGAAGATCGTGCAGTCTCTCATCATTCTGCCAGGTGTTCATCTTCTCGCGCTCAGAAGTGAGTCCCGGGGAGTTTGAGTGCTGGGGTCACTTTGCCGAGGTGTGGGGGCTCAAGGCATACATCACCTGGATGACGGTAGCCGTCTTTCTGCTGCCCGCCCTCATCATTACCATCTGTCAGGTAAGAGTGCTTTCAGACAATTCTGGCCTGTCCACAAAGACCAGGATGTAGACTACAATCAGGCAGACAACGGCATCCAATAATCAAGTGTGCTGTCTGGTTACTTTTAAAAGAGTAGACAAACATTGGAATTGTGTGCGTTAGCTCTGCCTTGTGAGAGCCTTCGACAACAAGAAAATCAGCCGAGATGCAAGCGGTGATGAAACTCATCACCAATCACGAGTACCGTGATTGGATGCACATTAGTGTGTTTGCAAGTAAGGGAGCCAGAGGGTCTATAATTGAATCAATTACACATGATGATGCCTCATCATTTGAAATTACATCCGTGACACAGGCTTGCAATTATGATGATGCATTGCTTCTTATTAATTATTGGGCACAAGAATAAAATGGTGTTTTGACTTCATGTCAGGCTCATATGGAGGGTACTGTTTCGACAAGCCACGGAGCTTGGCGGTCGGTGTTTGTAACATCCATGGTGGGCAGGCCTCCTGGGAGCACCGAAACCACTGGCATAACTCGTTGCTCTTCTATTTGGAGAAGAATATTTCCGGAGTCGAGCTGTTACCACTAATTAAGACAACACTTGCAGGACCACCGCTGAAAGGGATTGCTCAAAACAGCTGCCCACATGGGAACTGCCTGCCAAAGACAAGTAGATCGCAGCCAAACAGAATTGCTGACAATTTATTTTGATGAGCCCATTGCACGTTTCAGGCACTTTTTCAAATGTGACATTGTCTCTGCCAAAAGGAAATCCTCCTGAACATTTCAATCGACTTGGCTGTTCAGCACCATGTCTTTGACAAAAGAGTGTTGTCTTCATATATTGCTGGAAATTACTTGTGTGGGATAAACCACAGGGACTCTAAGGAGAGGCTGATCTGAACTTTGTCGCGTGTAATTTGATTAATTAGAAAGCTAGCTAGACAGCTGTCTCATTAATTAGATTAATAAGACAGCTAGCTAGCTCGCTGTCTCATTAATCTATCTAGCTAGCTAGCTAGCACATCTAGAACCACCTCCACCCAAAAAAAAAAAAAACCCTCAAAAGTAGTAAATGTCAAAAGTAAGACACCAACATTAGATGTTGGGGATCAAAGAACACAAGTCATTTTAAAGTTAATAACTCATGACGTTGTAATGCCTTAGATCACCTTGTGGCCATCTTGATAGTATACATCGTGTTTTGGAGTAGCAGATGTCCAAAAGCATAGTCCAAAAAAAATAACGGCTGTGAGCACTGAGAGTTCATTCTGAACATAAATTAGAGATTGAGGAATTGGATAATGCCACACGAAAAATGTCCGTGGTTGGTTTACTGCTGATGGTGAAGGTCAACACACACTCCAAATCACACACTCCTCATTCTTTTGTTTCAATTTCCTGAAGCCCTTCAACCACAAATGCGAACATGATAACTGGCAGCTGAATCTGGCATGTGCCCATCGTAAAATTTAATCCAGAGCAAAAGTCTTGGTGATATCATTTCAAATGTGCTAATTGGCCATTTTCCAGATAAGAATCTTCCGGGAGATCCACAATAATATCTACCTGAAGTCGGAGAGGACGGTGATGGCTGAGCTGAAGAGGAAAGAAATCCTCTTCCGCTTCCAAAGCTTTAGGCAGGAAGAGGAACGGACCAGGGAAAGGGGTTGGCGGGCATCCGGAGGTGGAGGTTGGGCGGGGCTGCACTTGAAGCCCGTGACAAACAAAGCTCACAAAAACACTTACAGTACAAGTCACGTGGGAGACGCCACAGCAAGAACCACACCGCCGCCGGCTCAGCAGCAAGTGAGCAGTCCTGACTGTCAGGAGTCCTGCACATCCTACGAGGTGGCCTCAGGCTCACCTCGCTGCTCCCTCGATTATGCCCCCCATGACCCCGCCGCCATGCCGCCACCAAGCATCACCAAAGCCATGTCTAAAACAGTCCGAATGACACTGGTCATTGTCCTGGTCTACACCGTCTGCTGGTCCCCTTTCTTCATTGTCCAGCTGTGGGCTGCATGGGACCCCAACTCTCCCAGTCAAGGTCAGTAACATATACATTGACAAAGCGTTTGATGTGTTTGGCTTTAGGTTCTTTAATTTGACCTTCTCTAAACTTTTGAGTGTGCACGTCCAACTTTCCACCGCGCTGCCCCATGCTGAGGCTCCTCATTTAATATGTTGTACCATGTCACTCGTTTTTAATCCATAAAAAGATGGAGTGTATGTTAGGGAAGATGCAGGTTGCTACAGATGGAGGACATGGGGCAGGAATAAAGACAAAAAAGGGGAATATTTTGAAAGGAGGGGCGTGCTCCAATTCATTTCAATGTAACCCGTGCAGTATGTACGCTGCGCGTATTTTTTGACCACAAGCTTCACTATTTCATCTACAGGTACATATGAAATTGTGAATGGAAAATGTGTACATCAATGAACATTGAACCCCCCCTCAAAAAAAAGGAAAAAAAAAACCTTGACATTGCACATGCCCCCTTTTTCAGGAAACTGGACAAGATCCAGTCCATATGAACAACAAACTGCAGTTTATATAACACTCAAAGGAGCACCAGAGGAGGACAAGAATAAATTGACTCAAATAATTAGAAACAGTAAAAACTAGCATTATAGTAAATTATTAGAGAACAGCAAAAGCAACATTAAAAACACATGGATGACAATGAAAGACTGTCAAAAAAGGGAATTTGACGGCAACGAATCAACTATTTTGTAATAAATTATGTCACTACCTCTTATGCCATGTCTAAAACTGCTTAGGAATTCAACACTCATGTCATTCCTGGCTTGGCGAGTGAGATTGCAGAAACTAGTGATAAAGCGGTTGAGAGCAAAGATATGTCAAAGAAACCATTTTCATAAGAGGAACTGATAAAAAAGAAATCATTGACGCCGTAAATAAAACTCAAGAGTATGATGTCAAAAGACTGTACTGATATCGATATGACAACTGTTAAAAGCATAATGGAGTGTATTGCCAACCCTCTGTCTCACATCTCCAAAGTGTCTTTACAACCTGGCATATTTCCGAGCAAAATGAAAACAGCCAAAGTTAAAACATGTATTGTTAAACGACAGAACCATTTCACGACTACCACAGTTCTCCAAAATATTCAACACAAGACTGGGTCATTTCATCAACCACATAATAAACTGGACAATCTACAATATGGCTTCAGGACAAAAAGGACAACATTATTTGCACTCAGAAAATTTGTTGAAGAAATCACAACTGCAATAGAAAACAAAGAGTATTGATATTCTTCAACTTAAAATGGCATTTGATACCATAGATCACAAACTGTTAGTCAGAAAAGTGCAAAAGTATGGCATTAGAGGGACAGCGCTGAAATGGATAACCGACTACTTACACAATAGATACCAATATGTAGAAATTTAAATCACAATTACAGAAAACTACAATGGGATGTCTCAGGGTTCAGGACAAGGACCACTGGTTTACATACCATACATAACATATATGAAACATCAAAAACGTTCAAAATAACATTGTTTGTTGATGACACAAACTCCCGTGCCATGGCGACAACTGGGAGCAAATGCACGTCGAGAGCTGAGCAGGATAAAGACCTAATTTTACCAGATTAAAATAACACTAAATTTAATGAAATTTTTAACTAAATTTATCATCTCTGGGAACCGACTGATAAATTCCAACCAGAAACTCATAATAATCAACACAGAAATTGAAAAAAATAACAGCAATTAATTTTCCAGGAGAACAAATTGACAATAAATTCAGCAAGAAGCCACACATAAATGTTATCAATGCCAAAACATCCAAATCAATTGCAATAATACAACAATGAACTTTTTGAATCAAGCGTCAGTACATACTCTGTACCGTTTCCTTATACTTCCATACATCTCCTCTTATGTGGAAGTACGGTGAACAGATACAAAACACACATCCTGTCTTCATCCTGCAAAACGAGCCATTTGTATAGTCAATAAAATCCATTTCAGAGAGCAGACAAACTCAGTCAAATTACAATTCCTCAAATTCCATGATCTAATTGACTATAAAATTCTCCAAATCATGCACGAAGCAATTGACCATTAGTTACACTGCAGCATACAAGAGTGGTCCCAACTGAGAGAAAATAAACATAATACCAAGAGAAATCTCATATTCCAAAAAAAGACCGTTCTGAACAAAGGTCTAAACCTACGGAAATCATGTGAGACCTTAATCAATTCGAAAAACATTTAGAAAATCAATACTCCAAAAATATGGTATGGTAATATTAATACACCAGTGAAGATGGTAGTGTTTTCTTTTACTTTGCTGTACTCAAAATCATATTTTTTTCTTCTTTGTTTCAGTTTTGTGTAAATGTGTATATATGTACTGTACTGTATACACACAAATATGAATCAGGTACGCACGCACTTACACACGCATGCGCTGATGAGCAGTACCCAGAACGAAACAGGAAAATAAAGTAGACACAAAAGTTTGTGAGTTTGTTAAAAGTAAATCACTGCCTACCTTCGTAGAGACCTGACGTGGCGACTGGGGACGCACCTTTGCAGCGTGTTCACGATCGTAGTTCCCGTGTACCGTTTTAAAATGAACTTAAGATTCCCATTCTTTGCCCGTGCCCTCGGTGAATTGTATATGAAAGAAAACTCTGAATTAGAATAATAATGACAAGAAAGATATAACGCAACAGCTCCAATCGCAAATTGCAATTCCAGACTGCCGGCCGCTAAAAACTTCCGGTGATGCAGGTCACGCGCCATTTTATTTTATTTTTTTAAACACTTTTGTGAAAGAGAGGTTGATAGGATGCTAAAAGTGTAGTGTGCACTAACAAAAAAAAAATTCATAAAAAATAAATGAAATAAAAAACACGCACACAGACACACAAATGTTTTGTTTTGTTTTGTATTGTTTTTTTTTTCTTCCTCTAAACCCCTTGTGATCGATTTAGGACCAGTCCCCACAGACAGATGAACAAAGACACATTGTTTGTGGCAACTAAATCATTTCCTGACAAATCAAGTAAAAATTGATAATTTCGTACAGTACACCTGATGATTCAGAGAGAGAGAGAGAGAGAGAGAGAGAGAGAGAAAGAGAGAGAGAGAGAGAGAGAGAGAGAGAGAGAGAGATTTTTACAGAAGAGGATTAGGGCCAATTCTGACTTTAATTTCTGAGAATAAAGTCAGATTCTGAGATAAAAGTAAGAATCTTGCCAATCTCGTTTTTTTGTCTTCATTGGCCCCAATCCTCTTCTGCAGATTTTAGACATTTATTAAAAAAACAACAACAACAACAAAGGGAGTTTTTGCAGCTCAAAGACGTGCCAGAGACTGTGAACTGTATCCCCTGATTTCTGAAGCTAAAGACAAACAGCAGACGGCAATAAATAACCTGTTTAGATTCCCCACCGATTTTGCAACCTGACCAGATGTTGACATTTCATCAACAATGGTCCGCGCCAGCAGCTTGCACTCAGTCAAAATTACAGGCGGGCACCACGAGGACATTGTGCTCACATGCACGCTTCGCCTTAGTTTTAGAATTGACCTTTACCTTAAACGAGTGATATGCAATCTTATTTGTTGTAACAGACACATACACACAAACACACAGTGCTGATCTTTATCGCTCTGTGCTCTCAATTCAGTTTTTCCCTCGTTTGCTGTCTGCAGTTTCTTTTATTATAGAATTCTTACTATTAGATCCAAACAGAAACAGGATTTGCGATTTTGCCCATCTGGAATGTTGACAGTACTATAGGGGGAACATTAATTCCAATACTGAATGTTATAGATTAGGATTCAGTATTTGAATTAATGTTCTCCCTACTGCCAGAAGTCAGGGGTCCCCAACCGCCGGTCCGCGGACCGGTACCGGTCCGCAGGGCATTTAGTACCGGGCCGCACAGAAAGAACTTGCCTTAATTCCGTTTTATTTATTTCGGAATACGAACGACGTTTTATTTTGAAAAATTACCGGATTCTCCGTTACATCCGTCTGTGTCACGCTTGACACACGTCAAGCCACGCTTCTCCGTCACGTGACCGATTAGCTAAAAACAAAACGCCAGAGCTCGCAAAATGAGTAATAAAACTGCTGGAGAGCGCAAATGACGGCGGCCTTAAAAGTACGTTCGAGACAACTGGATTAAAGTTATGTCTGAATATTCTGAGATCGCCACAGTAGCACTGTTGCTATTTCCGACATGCTACCTGTGTGAGGAGGGGGTTTTCTGCAGCAACCGCAACTAAAACAAAATTACGAAGTAGACTGGACATAAAACACACACTTGAGGTGTCATTTTCTCCAATTACCCCGAGATGGGACCGTCTGGTTGCAGAAAATCAAGCTCGGGGCTGTGTGTGGTGAGTCGTCATTTTCATGCACTTTGAATTTGCGTTGTATCGTATTTTGAAGGCATTAAACATTACCATCGCGATCAGAGAGAGTGTTGCGGCCAGATTAGACGCTCCTTGTGTTTATTATTATATTTCGAAAACACCACAGTTTCCATGCAGCTCATACCATATTATTTTGTTGTATTATTTCCGCCACACCTTCACTGCCGGTCCCTGAAAATATTGTCTGACATAAACCTGTCCGTGGGGCAAAAAAGGTTGGGGACCCCTGCCATAAGTGACAAAATGCAACTCAACTCCCAAAGAACAAAAATGAGTTTTAAGATGAGTTTTAAAGATGGACAGTCAGGGGGCTTGCCTAACGTTCAGCGGGAAGTAATTCCAAAGAGTCTATAAATATCAATGTCATATAAATACAGCTTGATGTCGAGTCGTCGATTGAGCGCTAATCACATGTCTTTGGCATTTCGTTCCAATCGGTTCATTTAGAGAGGATTTTTGACTCGCACATTGCTGACGAAAGACAACGCTGTGAGGAGTAGTTATCGAAATGTGGTGACACATTTGTTATTCGTTTGAACCAGACTTTTGGGGCATTGTAGCCTGCAATGACGTCATACTGTTTTCAGGAGTGGCCTTCACGATCCTCATGCTGCTGGCCAGTCTCAACTCGTGCACGAACCCGTGGATCTACACAGCCTTCTCCAGCAGCGTGTCCAGAGAGCTGCAACATCTACTGCACTGTGGCTCACGAGCCGGGCGTCGGGGCTCGCTGCCTGATGACTCCACCACCACACACACCTCCACCACCAAGGACAGCCAGTACTGACTGACTGAGACAACCTGGGAGATACGCGTGCTCCCTTGCCTCGTCCTCAGAAGGTAGCCCGCTTCCACCAGATGTTCCCGACGACAAATGACAGCTAGTTGTCAGCAGGACCTCCGTCTGCATTGGGCCCCTCCATGCAAAGAGAATTGGAGAGTGTCAGTGGAGGTGTCCGCGCATGAGGGAATGCGCAGCGACAGCATTTGCGATGTAAGGTGGCCTCGGCTCAGCATTTAAGTGCCACAAAGAAGTTCTGTCATTTTAAGAAGATAAAGAATGCAAGGTGTGAATCATGACGGACGTAATCTAGGACAAAGGGCAAGCAAGCAGACAGTAGAGACGGCGAGGCTGCTGCTGCAGCGGGACTGGCAACAGATGGCGGTGTTGGTGGCTGTTCCACAGGAACGCTGTAGTCGAAATCTAATAATGTGAACAAACGTTGTTAATTCAAAACAAGTGAATGGGCAACGGCTGTATTTATATTCACCCAAGAGGAACCCGTGGAGTTTCTCAGTCCAACAGAGAGCTGCAAGCAAGCTGGATGGAGGCTTATTCAAAAACTGAAACACACATAGTCACACACTCGGATACATTCACCCAAACAAACACGAGTCCCACCAGGCGAGTTAGGCCTGCAAAACGAACAATTCAGCTTTCCGCAAGCCAGCGGGACACAATGATGTGTTTTTATTACGTGTACACACAGCACGTGAAGTATACAAAAGGACCTTCCTGACTGTGAAGCCTTTGGCAATCTGCTGAAGGAACAAGAGGAAACATTTCAAAAACATTCCACGTACAAGAACAAACCAGATGAAACGTATATCAAAATTGATCACGCACATTAGACAAGATGTGCAATGTAAATGTTGCCGGATATTATCATTTATATGGTTCTAAAGCTGCTTAACCTGTATGGAAGAACTCCAGTCAAAGATAAGCTTGTGGTCTTCTTCACCAGAAAGGACCCTACAAGGCTATCAGAAGAAACAAAGAAAGTGGAAGCCATTCAGACAATGAAAGTAGTCCCAGTTCAAAGCAAGTGTCTGTGATGGCCATGGACACCTTTTTTGATCCCCCCCCCCCCCCCTTGATTTATTGTACACACACAACCACACACTCCCCCCCTACACACTCCGCCCTACCCCCTTGGTTTATCCCGCTGATGTCAGCCATGTTATTCTTGGAGGCGCTATCACCAGAGGCGGGCTTGTGTGTTGTGTCTCGCCAGCACACCTTCATTTTTCAACAGTTACTACCTTATGTCTGCTCATAAAGTTGGAGTACTGCTCTCTGGTCTTCAACTGCTGACAGACATCAAGTACACTTATGAATGTTTTTTTTCTTTGTTTTTTTTTTGTAAGCTTTGCTACATAAGCTTCTGAGAATGCAAATAGACGCAAGTGTGTATTAACTGAGATCACAACAAAGTGTACGGTCACAGGCCACAGCATTAGGTACACTTGCAAGACCACTCAATGGCTGTACCTACACTGCAAGTGCCTGATTCTGATGCCCCCGCCCTCAACTGGGATAATAAAAACCTCATGTATTTTTTAAATTTCATTCCATTCACTAAAATTGTAATGCCACAAGAGGAAGTTCTACTCACACACTGCTTTATTCAGCACGTGTGTTGCACACCACACAGAGAATCAGATGATACAAATGCTGCCATGTAAAAAGAGATGTCAGAGTGATGAATCAATCATCGATGTGAATGTAGTCGAAACAAACAAATCTGATTCACCACATTGACGTGAGCCTGACATGATCAAAATGCTCCGTAAATCTAAAATACAGGTAAAGAACAGATGGTGGTGTCATACATGTAAATATTTGAGGAGCGTAGATGATGAAATAAGAGAATAGACTCCTACTATCAGTTGGTGGAGTAATATTCACTTTTCAATTTTAATTTTCATAGATTTTCTTTAATTCATATCAAACAGTGTTATTCTACTGTACAATCAATGTAGAATAAAATAAAATGAACAGTGAACTATCAAGAAATGGACCAATGAAGAATAATAAATACGCCTTATAATGTAAATAATAATATTGAAGTTATGATCCTACATGCAGCATTAGCATCATTGCTACTTGCAAATGTGACCGATCAAAAGATGACATGATTGATTGCTGCTTTCAACCGGTGGTGCCGGCTAGTTATTAGCGGCTAAACTGCTAACATTTATGTGGGCAGACATTTTCATGCTTTCCACTTGTTCACCTGGGTGCTGCTTGTTCAAATGATTCAACAGGTTTCTTTTATTGACTTGTTTTTGACGACAGAGCATGCACAACAGTTTCCTCCTCCACATCGCTCTGGCGAACCTCTCTGGAAGGAACTTTTCTTGTCAAAATAGCTTCATCTTCGGAGGTCATGGCTGCCGATCAGCGGCGGGTTTAGCTGTACGTGTGGTCTATTTGTTACTATTACTTTCAGTTTACTGCGTCATCTTTCATTTATGGGAGGATTTTGTTGATTTCAACTTCTAAATCAACGTTAGAAGGGGTCTCGCGCACATTCCTGCCACTTCTGATGGAGTAAATGGATCATGGCCTGTTGGTTGGGGACCACTGCTTGAAGCAACAGCGATTTGAAAACAAAGGGTGTAGCAACACATGTAAACAGACACTACAATACTCAAAGGCCGTTGTTACCCTTTTTAAAACATATTGACTGAGTGAATTTTGATACTTGCTCATGTGTGTCTCTGTATTATACTGTCTCAAGGAGTCCATGGCGAAAGATCTACATAATGTCCATTTAATTGAAGCAAAGCACATGGTAAAAAATTGTGCATAACATTCAATTTAATGATGATATCACTGTATTCTTTTGAGTATTTCATAGAATGTTTTTTTTTTTTTTTTTTTTTTTTAATGGGAGCCTGGAATGGATTAATGACATTTTCATTCATCTTGGTGGGTAAAGATGATTTGAGAGTGTGTTGAGTTACGAGCGCGATCATGGAACAAATTAAACCTTCCTCAAGGCACCACTGTAGAAATGAGCTCGTAGTACGACATGGTGCGCTGCAAACTACACCAGCAGAATCATATACATCCAGTATTGTTACATAAATTCGTCTCTGACTGCGTCTCATTAAATTGTGCAGACAGAACCATTGAAGAAGAGAAGATCAAAAGCATACATTTCAAATGTTTTGTTTTTGTGTCCAAGACACAAAAGCCTGAAGACAATGCTGGGATGCTTTCAAGATGTCTCTGGAATCCTCGTTCGTGTCGAAGGAGAAGCCTCACCTTTTCCTCTCACCCGGCGCTCCGTTGTGCATTTGTTCCACAGACACACGGCTCCACTTTGAAGCTTTGCCAGATGAAAAGTTACATCAACACCCTGTCGTGTCCTACTTCGTTTCATCAGGAAATGGATGAAGTTCTCCCCCATCTGCTTTGGGTGTTAATGTATGTTCCTCTTCCTGATAGGAAATGGCGAGGTCAATGGATGGTTCTTCTGCTCATACATCGCCACTGGCCAATACAGCTGCTAAATAATACACACGAGAGCTTGCAGACATCCAAATATATACACTGAAGTCAGTCCCATGCACAGCAAACACGGGCGAAACCTCCAATGTTGCCCTTGATAATGTTATGGAATGTGATGTGACGCTAGGACTGAACCATTCATCGTAGTTGTGATCTCAAACAACGCGATTTTGTGATCGTCAAAGCTGAAAAAAAATGTGTGTTTTTTTTGTTGCTGTCCCTTAAAGGGTTAATATCATGATATGAATATCAGGCCATTTGGCTAAGCCCTCAGTCTCTGTTTAAAGCAGCAAGTCTCTAGCATAAATATGGGAAAAAATATCTCCACATGATCTTACATTCGTGTAAGAACATGTAGATTAGTACAATGTGTGAAACATGTTTGGTTAAATAATCCACTTTTACATACACGATGAAACATAATTGCATATTTAAACATGACGGAAAGCAGTAATTCTTGCTTCGGTGAACCATTTTAAAAACCTTGAAAAAGGACTGCAACCATCACTCAGCCTCTGCAGTGTCCACACTTGATTAGAGTAATACTGTAATACCTTTTAATGTTTTGATGGTATGATGTCATTTTCCGTCATGTTTCTATAGTGATTAATGCACTGAAGTTTGACTTAATTGCAATACCTTTCAGAAAAATCCCTATTCAACTGTTTCTTAAAATTGTTCAGCCCCATGTGGGGGCCCTCCGCTAGCAACACACGCCCTCAGAAGACAAAGTCCAAATGAAGCTCACTCAAAGGCATTATGTAAAAGTGAGACAAAATCTTGACAAAATAAAAAGCTCGGCAAGCATAGATTCCTTTTTTAAATTAAATTGTGTAACAGTTACATTTAAAAGAGGAATGCTCATATTTAAATAGGGAAAAAAACTCTTACACAAAAATGTGTACAATGGTCCCTTGAGGAACAAGTGTAATCCGTTCTGGGACCACATTCAAAACACAGTCTCAGATATTCTTTCCCTATTGAAATGACTGGACATGTAATTAATCCGTGACAACAGCGTTCACCCCCTCACCTTTTTTTTGTTGTAGTTCAATGGACATTGTGATGTTCCTTCTGGTGTACACACCTTGGCCATCTGGAGACAGCACAATAAGAACATACGTTTATGGAGATGGTTACAAGTCTTTAATAAGATGCGGTAATGTCTGTCATTCCTCGCAAAGGACAAAGAATGCATTCCTGTGAGTATTTTTATTTACTGATCCATTTTTAATTTTTTATATATATATATATATATATATATATATATATATATATATATATATCCACACGTTTATTCCAATTTACTGAGAATTCACACAGTGACGACATTAAGAAGACATTTTATTTAGAATCCATTGTGTATAGAAAAAGAAAACATGACAAAATCTTATTTTTGTGTTCGCGAAGTCCCAAGCAGTCATGACAAGCCATCTTTTGTCTGGATGCGGTCCACAATACTAATTTGGCAGCAATAACCCGAACAAGGAAAATTAAATTGACCAATTTGACGCTTCCATCAAAAATGTCCTTACAGCGAATGAAAGGTTAGAACGCTTGTGTGCCTTTAGTGAGTGGGTGTGTTTGGTGAGTATGTGTGTGTGCTCGCTATACATCGTGATGGGATTGCGTTTCACGCAGAAAAGAGGCTGATGTTACAAGTCAAGGTTATGTCGTGCTGCGGTGGCGTTTCCTGCCAAGCAACGGACTATAATAGGAATGAATGAATCCGCTTGGAGGCTGGCGCAAGGTCGGCAAAACAGGTGAATGGTGTGCAATGGGGGGGCCACCAGCCTTGATTAAAGTCAGTATAAATCAGACCCACCAAGTAGGACCTTTGCTTGATGCAGGAGATCCTGTGCATTTTTGCACTTCGCACCAGACAATGAATCTGCAGACGACGAGTTGACCACTTGTGCACTGCGGCATTCTACTTATGAAGCAGAGGGAGCCAAAGAACAACAAGCAGCGCAATTGTGCATGACCTTTAAAGACAATATTTTTCTTCAAACAGTCCCAGACATATGAAATTAAATCAACCACAGATGTAATGTGGGCTTAGCTCATCTACCTCACCTCCCGCATTCCAAAACCACAAATGTGAACATCATTGAAGTGTATCGTGCTACTATTGCAATTTTTGTATTAATAATAAGGTATGATATGACAACTTTAGGTTTTATTTACTAAGAGTCATCTAAAATATGCCTATTTCCAAAAATCAAAGTCACTAGGCATTACTGTCTTTACCATTTTCCTTACTAAAAAGGTAACTCTTGTAGTCTTGTGGTGGTGGTGACCCACAAGCGAGGGCAAGAGCGATACGTTCACTTTGCTGAAGATTTACCTCAGACGTGGCAATGGCAGACAATTACCACTTGTTTGCAAAAGCAAGCAACATGAGGCAGATCACTGAACACAACATTCACTCACCGTAGAGCAACAATACGAATAGTTATTGAACAATAAAATAAAGGAGGTGGCTGAATGACCCAATTCCTATCTAAAGGTGTACAAACAAACAACTGTACATTATGGAACACATCGAATAAAGGGGAACGACCACCAACCTGAACCGTGAGGCCTGCTAGGATGCCATCAACTTTGCTGACGCTACAGTTTATACTGTGAGCTTTCTTCTTCCGTGTCAGGGAGAGTCGTCAAATATATTCAAGTTAAGTGAGCAGCTTTTCAGTGACTCTGTGTTTTGGTGCTCACTCCTAGAAGAAATTGACTTTCTGGCAAGAGTTATGAGAAGCTTCTCTGAATTAGATACAACTACTGGTAGCCCCACTGTTTCACTCGTAACATGCAAATGCAATTCAAAAGTGGCCGTTGGAGCCTATATGTGGTGTTATACACGGTTTCAACCGGATTGAGATGTTGCAGCTTGACCTCATGAGAGACGGTCATATCCTGGGAACGTTTACATGCTATGATCTATAAAAATATGAAAACATAGAACTAAGTGTGCGATATTAGTGTGAGCAAACTGTTTGCTTATGATGGTGATTTAGGTTAAGATCAATTACTATGGCCGGTTTACAGTTTGGAGAAATTCCAAAAGGTTGATACATCTTTTCCTCCCACTGTTTCGTGACAAGCAGAAAAATGAATTGCTCTTCCACAAGATT